GATAAATACAAACTGTTTCAGAAATACATAAAAGAAACAGTAGAGAAAGATAGAAGGAGACGCCAAGGCCTGCGGACGCCTGCAAGACTACCTCGGGCCACCTAAATAGACTGGAGACAGCAACCTCACTGCGGTCCAAACGCTCCGGTATTAGTATCTGCACACAGTGCAGAGTGTAGTATCAGCACAACCGACCCCATGTGCTGGTAAGTGCCTAGCCTAACCTCGGCGAAGTAGTGACGAGGCTAGGACCAGACTACCAAATAAACCTGTGCAGTTAAATCATATACAGCGAAAAATAAAAGCAGATATTCACAGTTAAAGATGGGGGGAGGGGAGGGGGGGAGACATACTACGGGGAGTATCAGATAACAACAAAATACTAAAGAGGAATGTAAAGAAACCATAATTTAGTTGCCAACAACAATAAGGAAAACAAACACAGTATTCACTTCCATTTCTTTCTCGTTGCAGGCGTGCAACCAGCTCCCATTTCATATATCTCGTTACAAGCGTGCAACCTGCTCCCACCATTTCATACAATGGCGGCTCAAGTTACTTAGTGGCCTAAAGCCAAACTTTAAATAGAGGCCTTAATATTTTATTACAAAGTTTCCTACATTATATGAAGTTTAAATTTTTGTAGTATTTTTAGATGCAAAGTTTTTATATATTTTATTATTTCCTTTCCTGTATGCACTTGCAATCAACTTAGTGACTTGTTCATATTCTAAAGAGCACTCTCATTATTTTTCAATTTATTTTTTATTGTGGATTGAAATTTATCAAGAGCTCCATTATGAGATTGCATTAAAGTTTCAATTTTTTCCTTTTTTATGAATTTAAAGTAATTACTTGATTCTTATTTTCTAGTTATATTTGTAATTAATCATATAAAAAGCAATATAGACCTACGAAGTAAAATATAAAAAGATAATTAAAAAAAATTACAAAAAAGAAGAGAATAACAAGTTAGAACACTAAAATAAAATTGATTCTAGAAGTTGTAACTTGATAGAAAAAACAAAAAATTACCTTGTCGGTTTGCTTGCTGCAATGCCTAACAACTCAAGAAAGAATGAAGAAAAATGTGCAATTTGATTTATTCAATGCCCTTCAACACTTGTTTTTATGAGAATAGATAGCTCAGGAGGAAAAAGAATAGAGAACCTAAAATACAAGGTATTTTTATGAGAATGAAAAAAGAGAATAAAAATAATTTGGATTATATATGTACATTACCAGAAATGTATGTATAGTCACTTCAAGTACATAACAAACAATTCTATAGATTTTATATTTTCATTAAATTATTAAATATTTTTGAAAAAAAATTAACACATAAGACCTACTTTTAATAATTAAAGGGGCCTAAAAGAATTGGGGGCCTAAAGCGCCTGCTTCAGTCGCTTGGCCCTTAAGCCGGCACTGATTTCATATAGTACCGTTGCAGGCGTGCAACCCGCTCCCATTTCATATAGTACCGTTGCAGGCGTGCAACCCGCTCCCATTTCATATGTTACCGTTATAGGCGTGCAACCCACTCCCATTTCATATAGTACCGTTGCAGGCGTGCAACCCGCTCCCATTTCATGTATCAACACCAACCATAGAAGAATCCCGGCAAGGGAACAATAATACAACACAACATCCCGGCAAGGGAACAATAATATAACGACAACATCCCGGCAAGGGAACAATAATATGTTAACAACATCCCGTCAAGGGAACAATAATATGTTAACAACATCCCGGCAAGGGAACAATAATATAACGACAACATCCCGGCAAGGAACAATAATATGTCAACAACATCCCGGCAAGGGAACAAGAGTATAACAACAACATCCCGGCAAGGGAGACAATATCAAAAACAATAACATCCCCGCAAGGGAACCAACAATGATAATCATCATATTAGACATGGATAAATCACAACAGAGTCACAACAATTACAACACTAGACTCACGGGCATGCTTGACACCGACGTATAGATACTCGTCACCATGCCTATACGTCGTACTCCACAATTAACACATAGCAAATACGACACAACTCCTAATCCCTCAAGCTAAGATTAGACCAAACACTTACCTCGATGCCACGAACACAATTCAAGCTTTAACTACCGCTTTACCTCTTGATTCCACTACCGATTCGCTCGTATCTAGCCACAAGTTACTTAACTATATCAATAAATGATAAATGAATCAATTCTAATGCATGAAAATAGATTTTCTAGAGTTTTTCCCAAAAAGTCAA